ACTTGATATAATAAATAGAATTCGAATAAAATTGCTTTTCAGAACAAGAAAAACACTTTTTACAATATAATTGAACAAATAAAGTAAAGTGAAGATTTTTTTAATTCTTATTTTATGTCATAAAATTATTATTTTTTACAAAAAAATGGTTTTTTGCAATAAAACCTAAATTTCCATAATAATAATTAAATTTTGTAAATTGACTATAAACTTAATATAATAAATAAAATTCTTTTTCAGAGCTAGAAAAACACTTTTTACAATAAAATTAAACAAAACAAACTAAAGTTTTTTTTTTAATTTTTATTTTATGTCATTTTATTGTCATTTTATTATATATTATTTATATTATTATTATTAATTCAACGCAAATTTAAACATGAAAACCACGAAATTTAAACCAATATACAGGGTGTTTCTTTTAACTTGAGACAGCTCAATATCTCGAGAAATACGCATTTTACGGAAAAATGTCTTAAATAAAAGGTTAATGTGACCAAAGGGGACATTATTTGATGCTACCGCTAGCCACCCCCTACCCATCCTTAAGGGTGAAACGGGGGGTAACTTTGGAAAATCAAATGGGATGACCCGATTTTTTTCACAGATTTTGGTAGTACATAAAAAAATGAATAACTTTTATTTAAAACTTTTTTTCAATTTATTAACAGATGAGGCTGTAATTAAAAATTTAAGAAAAATGGGTTTCCCTGTTAAATGTATTATTTGATTGACAGTTTCTAGTTACCTTATTTCAAATTTGACAGTTTCTAGTTACCTTATTTCAAATTTGAACACGATTTAAGTTCGCGATTAGCAGAAGCAGTTTTCGAATAGAAAATCAAAGAAGCCATGGAGTATTTATCGGTGCAGGAGAAAATCTAAATAGTTTTAATTTATGGCGAGGCTGCAAGGAATGTGGATGTTGCTGTGGGCCTTTATGCTGAACGTTTTCCCGACGGGCCTCGTTCCCGTGCCACCATTTATCGCGTTGTCAAGCAATTTACAACTGAAGGCAGTATAAAACAAAAAAAAAGACTCGTAGAGCTACTGTTACAGGTGAAGAAAACAATCAAATTGCCGTGTTGGCCTCAGTAGCTTACAACCCCCACGTGAGCACCCGTGCAATATCGCGCGACTCAGGGATTGCTCTTACAAGTGTGTGGAGGATCTTGAAACGCCAAAAGTTCCATCCCTATCACATCTCCCTGCATCAGGAGCTCCATGGGGATGATTTCAACAATCGTGTGGCGTTTTGCAATTGGGCACAGCCGCAACTCCAACAAGATCCCGAGTTTTTTTCCCGAGTCCTATTTTCTGACGAATCCACCTTCACCAACCACTGTGAAGTAAATAGGCATAATATGCATTACTGGAGTGTGGAAAACCCACGCTGGCTTCGTCAAGTGGAGCACCAGCGTCCCTGGTCGGTAAACGTTTGGTGCGGTACCTTTGGCGAACGATTAATCGGACCCTTCTTTATTGACGGTAAATTAAATGGCGAAAAGTACCGGAATTTTCTAGAAAACGATCTGCCGGACCTTTTGGAGAATGTACCACTAGCACGGCTACAAAACATGTGGTACCAGCATGATGGTTGTCCAGCGCATTATTCGGCAATTGCTCGAGAGGTGTTGGATCGGGAGTTCAATGGCCGGTGGATCGGTAGACGTGGTCCAGTAAGTTGGCCTGCTCGATCACCTGATCTTACGCCACCAGACTTCTTCCTGTGGGGTTACTTAAAGGAAAAAGTTTACCCTGCAATTCCTACAACTCGGGAGGACATTGGTGGAGCGGATCAGGAACGCCTGTGCGGCGATACCGCCCGACATGTTGGCGCGTTGTGTGCCAGAATTCAATACCCGCATTCAAAAATGTGTTGAAATGGAAGGACGGCATTTTGAACATTTGTTATAAATTGTTTTCAGAGCCGACTATTGTTGATTTAATGTTATTTTTTGTTTTTCAAACGTTTCAAATAATACATTTTACAAGAAAACCCATTTTTCTTAAATTTTGAATTACAGCGCCATCTGTTGATAAATTGAAAAAAGTTTTAAATAAAAGTTATTCATTTTTTTATGTACTACTAAAATCTGTGAAAAAATTCGGGTCATTCCATTTGACTTTCCAAAGTTACCCCCCCTTTCACCCTTAAGGAGGGGTAGGGGGTAGCTGGCGATACCGCCCGACATGTTGGCGCGTTGTGTGCCAGAATTCAATACCCGCATTCAAAAATGTGTTGAAATGGAAGGACGGCATTTTGAACATTTGTTATAAATTGTTTTCAGAGCCGACTATTGTTGATTTAATGTTAATTTTTGTTTTTCAAACGTTTCAAATAATACATTTTACAAGGAAACCCATTTTTCTTAAATTTTGAATTACAGCGCCATCTGTTGATAAATTGAAAAAAAGTTTTAAATAAAAGTTATTCATTTTTTTATGTACTACTAAAATCTGTGAAAAAATTCGGGTCATTCCATTTGACTTTCCAAAGTTACCCCCCCTTTCACCCTTAAGGATTGGTAGGGGGTAGCTGGCGGTAGCACCAAATAATGTCCCCTTTGGTCACATTAACATTTTATTTAAGACATTTTTCCGTAAAATGCGTATTTCTCGAGATATTGAGCTGTCTCAAGTTAAAAGAAACACCCTGTATAAGGATATGACACAGAACATAATGATATCAGAGATAGGTTATGTTGCCTCTTATTCACGTATACGCCGTCAGATTGCGCGTTTCAATTGAGTGTGTCGTTCTTTTTAATGCTTACTCACATCACTACATCTCATATCACATTAACTGAAGTGAGCTGAGATCTCAGGCGAAAAGAACGCACCTTATATGAGGAAATAATCTAAAATATTACATATATTAAACATTAAATATTTATGCTTTTTATTGTCACATTGTATTATTTAGAAATGTAAATTTAAAAAAAAGTTATGGAGACACCAAGTATAAGATACGCAGCCTGATTTTAAAACAATATAGGAATAATACCGATTTACAAAATGTGATATCAATTATGACGTCAGTTAGGATCGAACTTAAGTCCCGACTCGGGGCAGTTTTGCAATACACTTTAGGCGGTAAATTAATTTAAGTTTAGTGCAAAAATTATTAATTTTGTTAGCAGTAAACTGATTCTACGATAAATAAGTAGCTGGAGTTAAACTGTTAGCAGCAGGGCCGGCCGTGCGCAGGATTTTCTCATGGAAGGGGGGGGGTTTATTATTAAATTGTTAAACATATATATGCCTTACAAAATTTAAAAAAAAATTGCATCAGAGCTTGATATTTTTTGTATTCAGTGTACCCAAAAATGAGAAAAAAAGGGAGGTTTTTGCTAACACGGTTCACCGAACACCGTTTTTAACGAAAAAAATAGAACAACTTTGAAACATTTAAAAAAAATACTTACCAACTAAGTATTCAAAAAAAGTTAAATGAAAATCTTCCATGTAGATCTTGGGAAATAGCGATCAATTCTTCGTAATTTATGTGTAGTATCGTATATTGATAATATTTTAACTGTCTCAAAGTTAATATTTGTAGAATATTTTTAATTTGAAAGACTCATACGAAAGTAGCTACTTCCTAGGAAACTTAAACTTTATTCTTCTGAATGCATTATTCAAAATTATAAACGTAAAAATTGATAAACTTTAACAAAAATGTAAAAAACAACAAAATAAATCTAAGCCTACAGATGTTGACTATTGTATGCACATAGACATCGAAGCAAGTTCATATTATATTTTTCTAAGTTATTTCTGGATAAATTAAATTTCCTGGAAAATATATTGAATGAATGATGAACTTGCTCCGATTCTTGCTCTGAGAAGAAACGAAGGGCTCTTTGCGTTTTTTCAATAAATTGAGGAACATAATAAATGAGAGCATGGATCTTTGGTGTACATGTAATTCCAGCTTTTGATGATTGTAGTTTAAATTTTTTTATGTAGTCTTTATATTCATCTGCTAAGTTTTGGCCAAAGCAGCCAGAAACTACTTGATTGAACGCCTTAAATACAGGTATATATTCATTGCTTAAAATAGGAATTATAAATTAGTAGGTAGAAAACATCCAAACAAAGCAAATCTTATGACAAAGTTTTCAATACAGCAGTCGACTTTAGTAGTTTTCGTGCATTATTGCCGTTAAATTTGCCATAATTGTCAAAGCAGATTCCAGCACTTTTAACCCATGCCTCCCAAATTCTGGATATTTGCTGTTTAGGGAATCAAAAAATTTTGTACAATGCCCAGCATAAGGTGAAGTTCTGGTGGTGGAATAAAGAACAAAACTGGGACATTTTGAACATTTGAACTCGAACAAAAACGTCTACATGTAAAAAACATCGATAAAAACTCGAAGCAAATCCGGGCGCAATTTACAAGTTTTAACCACAGAATTAAAAATAATATTTTGTATTCAGCGGTAAGATAAAAATCGAAGCAACAAATTGTAAACCCAGGCATGTTTAATAGTCGGTATATATAGGCAAAAGAGGATTAGTTTTAATACGAATCTCACTTATAGTTGGCGGCTACTTTTAACAAAAATAAATAGTGTTTTTATGCGAGGTCAAATATCAGTGGTCTAAACTATACAAACCTTTTTCAATAAAAAATTGATATATTATCGACAAAATTATAAAAAACTAAGAATTTTATTACCTACTAAAGAAATAAATTATAATTCATATTTTAAATATAGCAAGCCAAAAAACTGAAAGTATTAAAAAAAAACAGTTTTTTGACAAAATTTTTGACAGATCTACATGGAAGATTTTCATTTTACTTTTTTTTGAATACCTACTTAGTTGAAAAAATCGCTAGGTTTTGTTATCATTCAAACTGAATTATCAACACCAATACACGAGATATGATCAATTCTTTTCTTTTTCTTGTAGAACAGAATATTGCGCAAATTTTAAGCTTAAAGCTGCTAAGAGCAAAAAGTCAGGAGTTATGTTAGATGTTTTTTTAGTTGATAACGGATTCAACCCAAGGTGGAACGATGAAACGTGTGAATTTGTTGTCGCCAATCCCGATTTTGCCCTGCTACGATTCCAAGTCCAAGATGAAGATATCTTCGGAGAACCGATTTTTATTGGCCAGGCGACCTATCCGGTAATATTTTATAGCGTAAAAAATAAACAACATAAATAATTTCATTTTTCAGATTACTTGTGTAAGAACAGGTTACCGCAGCGTTTGGTTGAAGAACGAATTCAGCGAAGATCTTGAATTGGCCTCCCTGCTAATTCACATACAAATAAGCACTAACGAAAATAATTGTGATGAAATTAAATCTTGCATGGGCAGTCTAAAAAAGCAGAAGTAGTCAGTAGAAGAAAAGTCGAGTTTCGATTTTGTTAAAGATGCTTAATGCCCCAAAAACCGTTATTGGTATAGAAAAGAATCTCATCTTATACCCACAAATCATTATGGTACGAAAATTCAATTACAGGAAATTATTGTACTGTAGTCATAATGCATATCAGCTAGGATGTTAAAATGGTAATATTTATAGTCAATATTTTTAAATCTGTCCAAGAAATGTATTAAGTTAAATATATATATATATATATATATATATATATATATATACATCAAAGTTTGTGGAGAGTTATATAGAAACTATAGTATTATACAGTGCTGACAATAATCCAAAAACTAAAATTATTTCTTATGACAAAACAATATAAATTATTTAAATTACTTTTACAATCCCTGATATATGTATGCATTTCTCATTAGGTGATACCTCACTGTATCAAAAGTTTCATATTTACAACTACTTAAATAAAAAAAATAACGTATGCAAGACATTACATTTCTTTCTCACGTAAACATAAGTTGTACTTGCTTCACTTGTGTAATATTGGTTTAAAATTTTCAAGCTTGTTTCAAACTAAATTTATTTTGGTTTTTGATTAATTAATTCAAGTATCAGCTTAACTATGATTTCGCGAAAGAATCGAACGATTTTGGGGTATTTTTTTATAACACATCTCAGATTTTTTTTATATTTTAATATTGTGTTTATACATCTAATTCCACCCTAAATCTAAAATTTTTCTTTTATCTGACCTAAACTTTGGCTCCCAGAGACCATTTAATTTTACCTTTCGCAAAAAGCCATAATTTCATTATATTAGCATAATTTTTTTATTAAAATACTGAATGTTTTGAGATGTGGTCCCTAAATCACCCTTATTAGTACCTACAATTCTACCAAAAAAAAAATAATTTTTTTACATATAGGTGGCGCTGCAATTTTTTCTTCTTCAAAAATAGACGTTTTTTGAAGACCAAAAACTCTCTTAAGCAACAATGCTCAAAAAAACTAAATAGTATACCAGATAATATACATATTCCTTTATAATTTGATATGTAAAAATTTACTTGCAAATGATGTTGCCGCCCGTAAAGCCAACTTAAAGTTTTGTTTACCGCATTAAAAAAAATTGAATTACACTTACAACTTTATTCTTATTTATTAACTAAGAAATTCCAGGAGATTACTTATATTGGTAACAATAACACAGCAAAAAAAAAGTTTTATTTTTTCACACCCAGGGGGCGCTGCAGCCTTTTTTCTTTAAAAACTATATAGCATTTCAGATAATATAGTTATGTATTCCTTTATTATAAAGGGTTACGTATTCCTTTATTTATTTAATAGGTTTGTTCTTTATTTTATTTATTATATTTTTCTTTATTATTATTATTCATATTACTATTTCTTTATTATTTAACATATAACAATTTATCTGCAAGAATTGCATATAGGTATTAAATAATAAAAATATATCCTAATAATTATTATAATAATAATTATTATTACCTTTACCTTAAATTTTAAAGTTGTTCGCTAACTTTTTAGTTATAAATAACCCTGGTTTATATCATACCGGCTGGTTCAAATCTCTAGAGCGATTCTCAGAATCAGTCTAGAGATTTTAACCAGGGTTATTTATAACTTAAAAGTTACTTAGGCCGCAAAGGAACTACTTTAAAACTGATAAAACTTCAAAAAAAGTTCATCCGCTTCTGGACTAATTTCTTCAATTTCTTCCGGCAAATTTTTTTATTTTCTTTTTCTATTTTATTTAACCTTCTATCTGACGATAATCTTGATAATAAGCTGCGTATCTGATTAGGATGCATATACTCGTTTGAAGAAAAATAAAATTTGCCATTTACTTCATAATTTTGTAAAGCTGTTGCTATATATTCAAGCGTATATTTAATTTTAGTTTTTTCACCTTCTTCAAAAAGGTTGCCAACAAAATCTTTTTGTTTTTCATTAAAACGTGATTTTTTAATTTTGCGCCTTCCGAACCCTTTTGCATAAACTCGAAAAAACGTATTTTTATCTTCTTCATTTGGGCATATATTAACGGTAGATATTGTTGAAATAGTTGCAGTTTTTGTTTTAAAAATTCCATTTTAGCAACATCACCTATAGTTTGTCTAATTTCAGGAAATTTATGATTTTGAAATTTAAGGTGGTTTAGAAGATCATCTTCATTTTCAAAAACCCTACTGCAAAGTAATTCGTCGCACCTAAATTTAATTGCTTTTAAATTATTTAGATTTTCCTTTTGTCGACTCGATGATGTCCAAGGAACTTTCATGTTTACTCCAGAAGAAAATTCAATTCCTAGAATTTTGATTTATTAAAGAAAATTTATTAACTTTGCGTACCTTTAAAAGCATGATATTTTCCAACTCCAATTTTAACTTTTGTATTAACGGCAAAATTTTAAATGTTATTATGGTTACCGTTTGACAGTAACTATCAACTGTTGGGGTAACTTGATTTCCAGCCTATAGGCTTGACTTTAGTTTTAAAGTAAGATAATAAAGAATGCTTTGCCTTTCGAAATATACTAAAATATATTTAAACAAATGGTCATATTACTATTACTATAGAGTCACTGAATTACTTGTTACCATTTGTAATTAAAATTTCTTTGGTTTTGTTACCTTTTGTCCGCATACAACAATAAAAGCGAAAAAAGGCGTTTATATAACAATATGCACTAGTGCACTTACTATAGTACGTGCACTAGTGCATATTGTTATACCCGCATGCGGGTACGTGCACTAGTTATAATTTTAATCGTCCCTACAACAGGCATTAATTATTGCAAATAAATTTTTATATGTCAAACAATAAAAGAATATCTATATTATCGGATACATTATAAATAATGTCATTAGTTTTTTAAGCAATGTTGCTTAAGTAACTTTATGGTCTCTATTTAAAAAAAAAAAGGCTGCAGCGCCCCCTGTATATAAAAAAATAAAACTTTTTTTTGTTGCGTTTTAGTTACCAATAAAAGCCATCACCTGGAGTTCCTTAGTTTATAAATAAGGATAGAGTTGAAAGTGTAATTCAATTTTTTTTAATGCGGTAGACCAAACTTTAAGTTGGCTTTACTGGCGGCAACATCATTTGCAAGTAAATTTTTATATGTCGAATTATAAAGGAATATCTATATTATCTGGTACGTTATTTAGTTTTTTTGAGCATTGTTGCTTAAGAGAATTTTTTGTCTTCAAAAAACGTCTACTTTCGAAGAAAAAAAAATTTCAGCGCCACCTGTATGTAAAAAATTAAAACTTTTTTTTGACAGAATTGTAGGTACTAATATGGGTCATACATGGGCTAAATTTCAAATCATTCAATATTTTAATAAAAAATGTATGCCAAAATAATGGAATTTGGCCTTTTTGTGAAAGGCAAAATTAAATGGTTTCTAGGAACTAAGGTTTAAGTCAGATTAAAGAAAAATTTTAGATTTAGTGTTAAATTGGATGTATAAACAAAATATTAAAATTAAAAAAAAATCTGAGATGTGTTGTAAATCGATCGTTCGATTCTTTCGCGAAATCATAGTTAAGTGTATTTACAAAAGCATACTGGGAGTTACATAATTGTAATAAAATTATTTTTTTCAGCAATTTTTATGCTTTGCATTAAGGCAAATATTAGTATGATTTATATTGCATTGGTTTTTGAGCAGAACAGTGTAAAATAATCTATTACTAACGTGTTTAACATAAAAACCCTGGTATACTAAATAAAATCTATACATTCTTTTTATTAACATTTGGAATGAAAATTATGCAATATGAGTAGTTAAAGTTACACTCGAGATATTGCGCATTATTCACTCTGATAATTTACATCTCTCGACTGACGGCTCGTGATGTAAACCTCATCCTCCTAAATAATAGCCTGCATTATCTCTCGTAAAATATTATACTATTATTTATAATATATATATATATTATTTATAATATAATAGTATATTCATTATTTTTTATTGTTATTTTTGACAATAAAACATTTTTTTCTAAAATGGAGTATTTTTTTAATAGAAATAAAAGTAGTGCCACATTTTATCAAGTTACACAAAAAAATTATTTTTTTCCAAATTAAGTATTTTTGGGAGAAAAAAATTTGAAAAAAAATATTTCTCAACCGAGTATTGAACAATCAAATCAAATCAAATAAAATTTATTTCAATATAAAATATAAAAAAATAAAAAGACATGTTTTCAGGTTAATTATTTGATTTGCTTAATATTAAATATTGCAGGCCCCAATTTAGCTTGGCAATATTTTAACAGCTGATTTTACGTGCAAAAATAAAAAAGAAATCTCTTTAAACATAGGTTGAAATGCTTCCTAAGGGAGCCACATTTTATCAAGTTACACAAAAAAATATTTCTCAACCGAGTATTGAACAATCAAATCAAATCAAATAAAATTTATTTCAATATAAAATATAAAAAAATAAATAGACATGTTTTCAGGTTAATTATTTGATTTGCTTAATATTAAATATTGCAGATCCCAATTTAGCTTGGCAATACTTTAACAGCAGATTTTACATGGAAAAATAAGAAAGAAATATCTTTAAACATAGGTTGAAGGGAGCTACAGTTCCCAAAAGAGGAGCCCCTGAAGATGGTTTTTATTTAATATCTACAAAACCTTTCAAAATAGAAACGTGAATTGATCAAACTTTTTATGGCCAATAAGATGTAATAATAACTATTTCAAATTTTTTATGAGGGGTGGGTCAGTAAGGGTAAAACCACCCCAAACTTTTGTGTGTCTCTTGTCCCAGGATTTGATGTCAGATTTAAAAATTACCTTACATGGCATAAAAATTCATAATGAAATCGCAAAGAGAGAAAAAGATTCAGCTTGGGCCATGGAACACTGCCATGTTTAGGAAAAATTATTCAAGGGATCAATTCTCAAAATTTAATTTTTTTCCATCTTGAATGGTTTTGAAGATATTAAATAAAAACCTTCTTTAGGGGCTCTTCTTTTGTGGGCTGTAGCTCCCCAAGGAAGCATTTCTCGACCTATGTTTATAGGAACTTTTTTTTCCATTTTTGTACATAGAATCTGCTGTTAAAGTATTGCACGTTAATTATGGGACACCCTGTATATTGAATTTATTTCCAATATATTGTATTTTTTTCAATATATTGAATTTATTTCCAATACAGTAGATTTTTTTTCAATGAGTATGAGTATAAGAACGTATGGCAGGCCCCATCGGCAATGCCTTACATTGATCTTCCAGGGTTATTTTACCCCCTTTCGGTTCTCATACGTATCCCGCCACTGCACAGCGTTACCTGTGTTTGGTGGATCCGAATTTTCACCTTGGCACGTAAATCTTCCCTAGGAGATAGTGGATGACATATTCCCAGCTTGTTGATTATCTATGACGTTGCACCCATATAAACAATACTTTTCTTAGTAGTATCTTTTTAATGTTTGCACCCCACTGTGCGGTTGCGATTGTTTATTTTTGCTTGGAACGTTTGAGGAGTCAGCCAATTTATGGTCTCCTTAATGTCTTAGTAATCTACAGATGTTTATTTCTTTAGGATGAGTTTCGTTTGCTTAGTGTTTATCAGAACTTGACTGATTAATGGCTTCTTATGTGTGCCCTTGTGTTTATAGCTTTTTAACTGGTTGATTTTTATTGAACTGTTTTAACTAATTATTTTACCTAGTGGATTCTTTGTTAGTTAAAGATTGCGGATTTTGTATTAAAATTTATTATTATTTGGGAATTATATGGTCATGCAATTTTGGTAATTTTTACTTATCGTAGACTTCGGGTGAATTGCCAGGTAGATGTGATGTAATTGTTCCTTAACCCCGACCGCCCACTTTAGCACGTGTTAGATTATTCGTTGAAACTAATCATCTCACTCACACCTTTTATCCAGGTAAAACACTTGAGGACTTAATCCTGGAGGAGGTACCACACGCAATTTGCGATGTTTTTACACTTGGATCTGGTATATCACATGTAGAATCGTTATTAATCTTTGTTTTATGAACAAATTTAGCGGTGATGCCACTATGGAAGTACGAGCGCGTTAAGGGACCCTGCTTAAAATACCCCATAGAGACCTATATAAAATAATCTATCGGGCGCTACCGGATTCAATATGTGCATTTGTCCATGGTTTTTTCCGGATACGGCCCGATAGAAAATGTATAGGAAATTACCTATAGGCACACCATAACTTTTACATTTTCCCTATTGAGACTGATAGCAAATATCTCAATGAAGGATATATAGGGATATCCCTATAGAGCAACCATAAAACATTTACATAATTTAATTAAAATCTATGGGGTCCTATAGGGGAAAAACTAATTTCTACATTTATGTGTATTTTCCCCATTGAAACCGATAGCAAATAAATCAAGGGTGGATATCCCTATAGAACAACCATAAATCTCAACTATGGGTCCTATACAAACCAATATACCCTATAGAAATGCCATACATCCCGATACAAATATCTATCGGTTTGAACAAGGTCTATGGGGTATTTTAAGCAGGGGAGCCCTTAATAAGCGACCGCTCGCCTCAAGGTGCAGTACGTGACTGATACATTGGATTTTTTTTCAATATATTAAAAAATAATAATTTTATTATAATTTTGTGAACCCAGTACGCTTTTATAGTATTTACATGCTTCTTGCATTTATTTTAAAAATAAAATTTTTATTTTTCTTTAACAAAACTTTTTATTGTTTTAATGCAGGTAATAATGCAAAAATATAAAAAGAACTATAAAAGTATAAAAGTAGGAAAATTAACTCCACTTCTATATTTAATATTGTAATTTTAAGGGATTTATGCATAATTTTGACTGATAATATAAAGTGTATTGCTAAACTAATACAGTATAACAAATATAAAGAGCTGCAAAATTTTTAGCCCAATATCCTGTAATCAGGTATTTGACAATAGCGTTTTTATTTATAAGTTAAAAAGACTACACAATGTGTAGAGAATGGCAAAATATATTGTATTTTGTTCTATTTATAGATAAAAATATATTTACTAGTTTTTATATTTTAGAAGTATATATCTGTATCTAATGTTATTTATCTATGTATGTTATGACTTTTGTAATTTAAATACATATCACTAATTCTGGTGATGGAATCAAATGTAATTTAAATTTGTGATATATCTGTTTATACAACCATAAATTTTAACTAATTTTATAAATTTGTTGAATATAAAGTATATTTTATTATAGGTAAAAATATATTTTACTTTTTAATTGCTCAAACCTCTTGAACATTTGCTTATCTGTAACCTATTCAGTGTAATGAACAAGTTTTGAATAAAAGTTGTTTATTTGAGTCTGCTGCTTTTATTATCTATCTACAAAATAAAAAAATCCTTTTTTGAATAAATACATTTGTTATTTTCATTACTTTTACTTATTCTTCAGCCTCACTTTTATCCCGTTGAACCCCCATCATTATGTAGAGATCAGCAGGTCTTTGGAAATTTTCCTCGACTATTATTATTTCCTGTTTGTTCTTTATTTCATAATTGCATTCTTTCCAAGGCATGAAACTATTATGAAAAGCAGGATACACTTCCCCAGTCTTACAATACACTTTTTTACTTTTTAAAGGTGTGTTACCATTAAAAACAAAAACATATTCTTTCCTTTTGGGATAATTGTATATCCGAATAGGTACTTTACTAACCAGTAATTGAATAACAAGTATGATTCCAGTTAATACTGCAAAATAAACATAAACTTCATTGTCTATTGGCCTAGCTTTAGTATATAGAGATGGAATATCTTGATTGGGTAGCACAGCAGGTTTGTAGAGGGTTTTTAAAACCATAAATCCCACAGCAATTGTTGAAATTCCTCCTACATATTGAGCAATTACCAAATAATTGTTCATAGTACTTTTGTAGATTAAATTGTATTCATCGGGGATATTATCCTTTAACTTAAGTTCTTCAATTCTTGGTTTTTTAAAGAAATTAAAAAATGTTCTTCTCTGAGAAATCTGTTTGAAGGGGGCTAATTTGCTTGAAGTTAAATTACTCAGTAGTCTACAAGGAACCCGTATTATTTGAGTTAAATACATTTTTACTGGTAAGAAATTTTTGAGGTTATTTTTCTTCAGTTTAAATGTTGCCAACGGTAATAGAAAACCCCCGTTTACAATTTAAGTAGTTTGCAATGCCACCAACATAAGAATTAGCGTGATGTATGTAGGCAGGTTTACATAGTTTACTGGGTTGCCTACATTAATTTCCCTAATTCTTGTAATTTTTAATAATGAAATTGAAAAATATAATTCGTGTTCTTTTCGCAGACAAATTTTTATTTACGATTTCCGATAATACTACTATTTTGAGGGTCAATAGTATACAGGCAGAGACAAAGTTGTTGTCTCTTTAAAGAAGTACAAATACTATAATAAGGAAAGAATTGGCAACACGGTAAAAGCAGAACGAACCAATGAGAACGAACAAATTTCGGTTCGTTTTGTTTTTCTCTCTCGAGCATGTTGACATTCAACATGGCGGCATGTCGTCAGTGCTGTGCTGTGTCGTGGTGAGTTGATATTTTCTCAAATTTCACAAACAATAACACCAAATTCAAAATCTAAAAGTACGTATATTTCTTCTACAAACTTAGATCTACATTTTACCCACATTTGCATGCGTTTAAATACCCGTTTAATTGCTTTAGACATGTAGTTACACTAACCCTTATAACATCTTTTGTGCCGCACAATCTACGCAGTATTCGTCTTAGTTTTAGGGAAATTGTCCAAATAATCATTACGCCAGTTTCTTTAATCGATGTTGCACGTTTAAATAAGTAATCTCACAAATTCTTATATTTTCCCTTTGTAACCAAATCAATAATCTGACCGTTGTATTACCCCTTGCCCTAAATGCACGTTTCAAAATTTACTCCTACTTTATTTTGTCTATGGTTTAATTAACTCGATAAATAGCATGTTTTTAACCAAAACACACAAAATATCTAGAAGTTATGTTTACCTATATGTTACTTTTAAGTTAAGATGGAATTTTCAACAAAATCGTAATTTTAGAATATCTGACAATTAGTAAAATTTGATTCATTACACCATTTTTTAACATAAAAATAATGTAATATATAATATTATTAGGTACTAGGTATTAGTAGGTATTTCTAAAACTTTTTAAAAATTAATTTAAGGTTATTTGGTTAGGTATTATGTCAAAAATTACAATGTTGCCTTACTTATATAAAAAAAATATATTTCAGTTTATCCTAATCTAAAAATAACAAAGAACATTTCTAATGTAGAATACAGATCCTGTACCTATTACAGAGATAATTAAAAACTTGGTACCTACCAACTTGGGAATCACTTTGTATAGTGGTCAATAAACTGTATACAAAATGTGCAACATTTTGTTTTGATTTGTCGAGCGAAGTAATTTAAATACCGTATTAAAACTCTCTTTTATTGTTTGTTTATCATGCATGTTAAAAATCGAGCAAAAGATAAGAGCAGAAATTATTTCTATAATTAAAACAGCTACATAGCTGTTGTACACACTTGTACAAAAGTATTGCATCCCAAAAATACAGGTACGGTTTAAGCGTTAATCAATGGTTTAACACAGGTACCAGATATTTGTTTACCTGTGTACTGGAAGAGTTCCTAGCTTAAACATTTTATGTTAAATTATATTTACTTAAAAGCAATACTGTGTTTCTTTCAAGTTTCTTATTTATTTTTATCCAACGATTTTACATTATGTTAACAAGTGAAAAGTTTATTATTTTACTTGAAAAAAGTCCTGTTTTTATTGTTGTAAAAGTAAATAATAATCTATAAATACATTTTATAAACAATTTAGAATTATTTAAATTGCGTAATGTTTATTTGGCTATTATAGTTATTATTAAATCAATATTACCTTTTGTCTTTAAATAATAGAGGGGTACCTACCTTCATTAGGTTGGAGTGAAAAGGTGAAAAAAAAATTCGTATTTCTTCTTTCCGGTATTATTTATTGTTGACCACATAGTACATTAACTATTCAAAAAAATTTGACTCTAGGACTTTAGCGCACGCAGCAAGAAAAAACAAATTCTGTTTTAGGCGCTAATTTTTATCAATATACTGATTATTATTTTGCCAATAGATTAATATAAATATTCATCGTCCGATAGAGGCGCTCACCGCGTCGCTGTCAATCATTAAAGAATAATCTTTGTATATTGACTTAACAATGTCCTGTATTTAGTGAACCTTAAAATCTTTCTGCAAACATGTGGCCCACATATAATGATATAATTAAATATTATTTGTTGGTCAGAAATGATTTGCTTCAATTAAATGGTGAAGAAGACCCTGCTATCAAAGATGTGTGCGAAATTATTTCCTGTGACATCGAGAAAATATGGAATAAATATTCAATTCCTATTGTTAGCCATCAACAAGTTGTGGCCAGGTTGATTTAATATTAGTAGTACAAGGCCGTAAAAAAACTTCGCAATGATGTAAAAAAGAAGTTCTGCGACGAGTCTAAAAAACTATTTGGTATTGCTAAAATTCATGTTAATTAAGGTGACCAACTCTCCTGAAAGATAAACCAGAATGTTTACATGTATTTCTATTAACATAATATTATTACAAATTAAAATTTTTTAAAACTATATTTTTTTTGGGAGTAAATTTGTTTTATTAGTACTTAATTTTTTAAGCATGTTTGATCGAAATTAGTTTTAATAATTAATAATGATTTTGGTGTTTAAATATGCAATTATTGTGATTTGTCTTGCAAAAGTTGTTTATATTGGAAAAAACTTTCTCATAAAGGACTATTTGTTCAAGATAAACACAACAATATGCTTAATTCTTTTGCATTTCTTCATTAAAGATGAGTTGGAAATATAAAAAACAATAGATATTACAATATTTAACCACAATAGGAATATGCGCAATACTAAAATAGTTCCGAACTATTAGTTCGTTTGGGGAGAGCCATGCGATGTATTTAGTGGGAGTAGGGCGAACAGGGTTACACGATTGGGCGAAAAATCTGGCAAAGTGGAAAGAAAATATAAATTTATGTTTATGGCTTAATTAGTATTGTAGGTATATGTAGGTATGAAAACAGAAGAAAACAGAAAAGCTTTTGAAAAACAGAACTTTTACTTTACTTAATTTACAACCAGAACATGGTTCTCAAAAACAGTATAGTTCTGGTTAAATCAGAACGGTTGGTCACCTTATGTTAATGAAAAACACTTTTTGAAATACCGGCGAGAGGAACGTAAATTGTATTTTGGCTCTGTCAATCACTTGGCTACAAAGTCTCTACTGCGCAAAATAGATACTCTTAAGTACTTATTCTTCTTCAGTTGTTTTTCTTCAGAAACATCTGACTATCTTAAAATGACACTGAGAAGATCAAAGCAAAAGTATGCAAAGAAATGCGGAGTAGACAACTAAATTTAGCCTCCGCTTGTGATAGAAGTGGGGTTTCTGATCGATCTGCTGCAATAACAGTAAACGCTGCATTACTGGATTTAAAGATAATTAGTAAAGAAGATGTATCTAGAGTAATGGATCGAAGTAAATTACGTCGGGAGCGCCAAAAAGTTCGGAAATATTTACAATGCTTGGAAAGAAAACCCCTAACTGCGCTTTATTTAAGAAAATACGATAACTGTTATTAAAACTGGAAGTTATACACACAGCGGAAAACCATTACTGAAGGGAACATTTCCTTAATATCAGAGCCAGTCTGAGTACATTGGCCATCTTTCAGTTCACTCAGGAAACGGAAAAACAATTCAGAATCACATGACTGAATATTTGGAAAAGTCTTATGAATTTAGAACATCTTTGGTTCCAATAGGAAATTTGCTCAGCGATATCTCAAGGTACAATTCCCACTTCCATAGCTAACAAACATCCAGGAAAGCTAGCACATTCCCGATGGCTGACGTGTGCTAATATGATTCTCCGTTTATATGTGGGAACAGCAAATCCATCTTCAAACCTAAAAGAATTGGCTACTTTTATCATGAAAGTTTATGCCTCAACGTGGTTTGACCTTAAAACCAAACCTACTTGCAAACATGGTCCAATTCAGATATTTAATATGACTAAAAGAGTATTATACCTCCAGGAAAACTTTAGGCTTTAGTTAGACTATTCCGCGAAAAGCTTTTTTATACATCCCGAAAACCTATTACTTGCTACGAGATGCTATGTTACGAGATGATGAGTCCCACATCAGAGAACTAGCATTGCGGAAAATATTAAATCCCGGAAAAGAATCAAAAGTTTTAAGATTACGGGGATTTAGGCTTCCATAACTAAACACTGAAGCATTACATTATTACGAGTTAATTCTCTGGGCGACAGAAAAGTTAACTGAACCACCTATGAAATACGATGAGACAGAAATTACCGATATAATTTCTTCGGGTGACCATTTCCTATACATTTTCCTATAATTTTCGTGTCACACCCAAGTAGTGGAACGCTGTGTAAAACTGGTTACTGAATCTTCAGTCTCGGTTTGTAGATCGGAAGCAAGATATGGTTTTATCAGAACAAGAATGGTTTTATCAGAAAAGAATTTCCAAATTTTGAGACCAAATATGAGTATTGCGCCAAAAAGAAGATCTCATTTCTACCAATAAACACTCCTGAAGTTCTTAAAGCTTATGATTTACTATTAAATGTTTACGTTTCACGTTTATTTTACTAAAATAAACTTTTTATTTAATGCTACTTGTATTACTTTAATTGAAGTTATATTTTTTTAGAATTTTCAAAACTTCAAGATTGATGTGCATCACATTAAGATATTAAAAAAATTTGATTATTTTTTTAATATTCATTCATTTTACGCCCTAAGTCAGAAATTTATAATACAGGGAAAATCAATTAATAAAAAAAATCACTGCATCCTAACCTACCTAGATATTTAATTACACGTGAAATTTTTATAGCGAGATATTTTAGTAATTAATTAAATATATAGAAAACAAATTTAAATTTATTGGTTTCCATAATAAGTTGTTTTTCTATTCCATAATGATGATATGCATTTGCGTTTCGTACTGTCTCCATGGCAACCGCACGATACGCAAATATAATTTATAATTCAAATTTTTCTTAAAATGTTGCCAAATAGAAAAAGACATTTTCTCGCACATCCACGTGCGAAAAAATGACGTATTATGACATACCTATAATCTACAATTTTTTGACATAACTTAAATACCTAAATTACATTTTTAGCAATTTTAAAATTTGTATTAAACATTTAATGGGTAGGAAGTAGGTACTACTTCCTTTTTTATTTCGATTTTATCCCATTTAAAAAGCATGCATTTTCAATCACTTTTTTTTCATTTCTATATCTTTGCCGTGTTTTAAGCTCTCATATTGTGGTTCATTGTTACTTAGAGAGTATTTAACGCTTTTTTAAAGAGCCTTCAAGAATTTTTCTCTAACTTGATTCACCTTGATGGTATCAGCTCTGAAAATCATTTTTTTCATATATTTTTGAAATTATTAAGATTATGACTTTTCTTACCAAAAAATTTTAAAGAAAAAAGTTGTAGAAAATGTAATTCTTTACAAAAAAAGTTGTTACCTTCAAATTCAAAATACTCAAAAAAGTACTTTTGCTTATAAAATCTATAATTTTAGCAAATATTAGAAATATTTCCCAACAAGCTAAATTATACATGCACAATAATTACTTTTTACAAAAATTTATTATGTCAAGTTATCCATGAAAAAAACATTAAAATAAAATAGTAATAGAAATATGAATTCAATAAAATTTAGTATAGGGTCATTTTGAGGGGTAGTGAATGATTTTCCTTTTATAAATCGCTAAAATGAATTCTTAAAAATTTGCTCTCAAAAACTGACATATTAGGCCTTGTATTTTGCTCCAAAAATACAGTTTATCAAGATCTACACTTTAAAAGAAATCCGTTTAAAATCGCACAATAAATAAAGATTTTACAGAGGTGAGTCGCAAACAAATGAGTCACACTGTATTAAAGAATATATCCATATAAAAATATCGATATAATATATTATTATCGAAAAAGATATCGATATATTTCTTCCGATTTGTGTTGATTTCGATATATAATTTTCCATACGATATATCGAAAAAATAATTTTAATCTGCCATCCCTATTTATTGCAAGGAGGGTTTTCTAATGATTAAACGTTAAACATACCGCACACCCAGTTCAAGACCACCCTAACTCAAAAAACATTGAAATGAGATAATCAAGTTTTAAAGTTTTGAAGAAAGTAAGGACGACAATTATTGTTATTGTTATTATAACGCCCTTAAGTTATTACATAAAATTGCATTGGTCTTGCACACAAGAGAAATTAAATTAATTTAGGCCCCATATATTTTTATATGGTGGGTGCACACTTAGACAATACAGATACCTATTTTAGTGTAACATAAATGTATGTGTAATAAAGGTCTTAAAAATAGGACTCAAGCTAGAATGGATTCTTAAATCTATTATAAGGTTGTTTAAGTATTTAATAACCACCATAACTCAAAACTGTTGATTTTATTAATTAATTTATTAAAAAAACTGGATGTGCGATATACAGTATGTTAAAATAGTTACAATGTATATTATATGGTTTGTTTGTTTTAGCTTGTGTAACTAAGAACTTCAAAATTTAGTATAGAAGAAGAATAATAAAAAGAAGAAATTGTAAAAAATTGAAAGTAACCAGTATCTGCGCAACCAACCACCGACTGGCCTGACAAATTATGAGCATAAAAGCACAATCGCACCCAGCACGCATTGAAGACATCTGAGGATTTTTTTTAATTTAATTTTTCCCTTCATACAAATTTTGAGTGACTGTGGATTTTTATACTACTACCAATACCTACTATTGTGAATTTGTTGAATTATTACTTGTATTAATTGTATATTGTGAATTGATTTTCAAGACGCGATATAAGACGATAATATAGAGAGAGATAGAAATAGAGTCAGTGAAAGGAAAGGAGGAGAGAAATAATAATTTTATTGTAAGCACCATTTCGGCTGCCATATTGACTTTGTGGGGTATATGCCACATAGGTACATATACCGTTAACCATTCTGTGATATTCACTACACTTAAGAAACTATAAGAAGTGAAGATAAAAGAAGAATAAAGAATAATAAAAATCATATTGTACTGTAGACTAAACAAACCATGTCCACCAATCCTCAGTGGAAAACCTTCCAGCCGCCTCCCGATACTATGAATCAAGACTCCAACATCATGGATTTTAAATCTTTGACCACTAATGGTAAATACAATATACTTGATAATTCAAAGCTATAGCTTATAAGTAAATGTTTTTTTAGGTAAATCTTCAGCATTTAATTTCACAAACCGTTCGAATTCGGGCTCGCGGTTCGGTCAAGATTTCCCGTTGCTGCAGGAAAAATCCTCCTTCACCACTACGACATCGAACGGAGGCGGCTTGGGCGGCGGCGGCAGCAACGGCCTCTACGGCTCTTCTAGCGCCACGCAGGCAAATGCTGCGCGGTTTCCTATAGGTAAGTATTTAATTTATTGACAATTTAGTGTTGGTGTTACCTTTTTTGAACATCTAGCAACCCTACATTGAGAAAATAGTAATTTTAACAGTGTCGCGCTAACGGTATAGTAAAAGGGGATAAATATTAAAAAATAACATTAAATGTAGTGCACGTTTTGTTTAAGGACTCGCGCGGGCCTGTTTTTTAACTGATTATTGGAAAGGTAATTTATTTTGCGTACATTTTACCGTACTTATATAGCAGTAAATGGCGCTAAGATACGAGCAAAAAATCAAAGGTTTCTAGTGCACTATTTTCCGGGTTCAGTAAAAATACAGAAATTTGCCGGGAATAATCGCCACTGGCTTTATTTTAATAGATAAAGACTTGTTTTATACCCCCGTGAGGTGGCCCCCTTTCCAGCTCACATGTTTTCAAGTAAAATTTATATTTACTGACGTGACGAAATATATGTATATTCTTAAAAACGCGTGTTTTACGAATGTTGCCATAACTTTGGAGATAGGAGAACGGTGCAAGTCGCAATAACATACATGACCATTGTCTGACACAAATGGTTGGTGTATGGTGTGACAGTCACCAATGGTGACCAATAGTGACTCACCATGCACCAACCATACCAACGGCAAGCGATTTGCTTCATTTATTTAGTCGGTAAAACCGGTACACTACATTACCCCCTTCTACTATATGCTACGCTGTAGGGAAGTATAAAAAAATAATTTTTGCGACAAGTAGTTTTCGAGTTATTTAGCATTTAAGTTTAAAAAAACTCGGCAAAGCTGTGTATTTCCGAAACCAATATTATTATAGTACTAATGTACTACTACTACTTTTGTATAATGTAGTTTTTTCGCACGAGGACAATTTAAGCGAGTTTTGTAATGGACGAGTGCGAGAATTTTCTTACGAAATGGGTTCTTTATAACATTTTTTCCATTTGCCAAAATTTTAAGAAAAAATCGAATTATAAATTGAATGGTTTTATGCAACAGGGAACCATCCCTCATAATAAAAAAACGGGATAAATGTATTAACGTGATGGGGCCATGAAAATAAGTTAAAGAAATAAAACGTGCGAAAAAATACTGAATTAAAATATTCAAAATAATATAGAACTCTGCAATCAAAGTTTTTAAATCTCAAGAAAGCTTTAAGCTGCATGGTTTTGCCAACTTTCCCTTAAATATTGAAATTGTGAAAGGTTTTACAGCGCCAAGCGGCTTGGTTAACGTTACTTTTGACCACAGGTCTGTGCTTTTGACTAATCGCAATATATTTATACTGCAACAAGGATCCATGCTACTTGGTTATGGTTTAAGCTAAAAAAATAATGTTGGAAAAAAATGAACCAATGGTTTTATATAACAAAATCAATATTTCCAAAAAAAAATAAGAGAGATCAGGAGGATCTCAGAGCTAAAATTAAAAGATTTAAAATCTATTTATCACCAAATTTCAAATGATGGTTTCCATGTTATAATAAAAAAAATAGGCCTCAACTATCAGTTTTATTTATTCTACAAGGGTCCAACCAACAAATTTACTTATTTTATATAAGACCACAGTAATGAAGGAACCACGTAATTTTTCGGACGCCATTATCTTAGTGTTGCATAACACCATTCAATTATATTTGTGTATTTTACTATTTCCATGAAGGCAATATGAATTGCAAATGCGTATTCTACTGTCTTTATTATGGTATACAAATAGAAAATGGTACATTATAGACCAGGCGAAAAAAGCACGTATTATCGCCGAACATACATTTCACTACCGAGCCGATAGCCGAGGCAGTAGATTGAGTGCGAGGCAATTAATAAACTTTCTCCGCCGGGTTTTAAACACTATTTAATTAAATAATTGCTTAAACTTTTGTCAAATCATTTTCGAGTTAGGTTCAACTGTCACGATGACATTTTAGCTTTAGGAGTGCGTTCGAAATGAGTGTACTTTGGATATGGTATAAGGATAGGTATATAATCATGTGACTTTACATTATACCTGACCTTGTTATTTTCGAACGGCGCGGAGCATATCCCAAGCAGCATTTTAAGTTTAAATAACTACAAATTTACTACTAAGTCAACTTTAAAGTATTTTTTACGGTTAACCAAAACGGTTTTATAACGGTATAGATATGAAAAATTACCAAATTTGGGGAATGGTTTATTTCGTTATTTTACCTACATAATAACCTTTTTGATCTACTAAGATAATAACGTAATAAAAACAATATAAATACCACAAATTTACGTAAAAATAACGCTATAATTACTAACTGTTTGCTGTCTCTTTCTAATACATTGACATTCATAATTTCTTTGTTCTTTAATTTATATTTTACAAAATGGTACTACAAAGTAATAAAGGCCACCCTAGAGTAAAATTAAAAAATATAACTTAAATTGTCAAAACTAATAATATTTTGCATTAAAACTCAAATGCACATTATTTTATTGATAAAAATAGGTACGATACATCTTAAAAATTATATGCCCTCTAAATATTTTACGGTTTTAGGAAAAATTATTGCTTGGGTAAAAATTCAAAAAAACTTAAAACCTACACAATTTTATAAAATCTTTTAAAAATCATTTAGTTTTAATCATTTTTTAATAAATAAAACTTTCCTTATATTTTAGAAAAATATTTATGAAAAAATATTAAATAAATGTTTAGATAAGTAATGGATGCCATCTTAAAAAAATCATTATGGCGACCTGAAAAAAATGTTCCCTTAAAGTTTTATTTTTCACTTTAAGCTTATTTTTCCTTGTTTAGTCAATATTAATAGTAATAATAATAATAATAATAATAAACTTTATTGGAAATCCAAAAGGCTAACGACTTTCGTCTTCCTGCCCTATTAATAGTATTTATTACCACTAATAACCCTAAGAAATACCAGGAGAATAGGTATTATTTACGGTTACAAAGTGGTCTTAATATCGTAAAATTATGACTTTGTTGAAACTTAAGGGTTATTAAAATAGGTAAAAAGAACATAAATAAAACCTATTAAATAACTTGAAAAAAGTTTTACCCCAAAGTAATTTTTTAAAGTTAATTTAACAAAATATTTACTTAAATTAAGTAATATTGCCTCAAATCTCTACGATTTTACTTAAAATGCTGCTTGGGATACCTATAAACTTTATGTTGTAGTGTTCTAAAATCAATTGGTTTTGCTTGTTATTTGACTGAATACATATAAATATTAAATTATTGAATTTGAACCCTTTAGTTATATGGTTTATTCAAGTAATTGTGATAGATTTTGTTTTGTTTAAATTTTAAATAATTTTTTTTATTTTAATGTTTTTCGTTTTTGTTTTATTGAATTTTAAACAGTTATAAATAAATTATATGAAGGTAAATACAAAATATTGTTTGAAGTACCCTATACGCATGATGGGTAAAACTTAACCAAGTCTAAAGCTTGGACAACCGAGAGTGCACTCTGGGCATATACTTGCTGTTTTCGAACAGCTGACAGTTGCATATATCTAGGTATAGTCGCGGCCAAATCTGTATGGGTGCACGTCATCAACGGCATATGACGTCAGCGTTAAGGTCTATTCATACGTGCCCAGACACAATCTAACGCTCGTGTATTGTTGACTGTTTATAGCGGTGGGGGCTGTTATTAAGATGGAATTATAACGTCCTTGTTATAATCTTTTGCACTAACTAATTAGGAGTTTGTTACAGGCAAATTTTTATTAAATGTGTTTAAAGAGAAAACAAACGGAGTTTATTACATTTTTATTACATATGCACATAACAAAAAAATACTAAATTATCAGAAACACAAAAATAATAAATTACCAGTCGTCATTGTCATCAGAGCAAACCAGGTCAGAATTGAAGTCTGATTATTTCCCCAAATTTATTATTGAGGGAGCAATGTCTTCGAAATCTAATAACGGCGAGTTGCCAACAAGCCTTATATCATTGTTTGCACAATCCAGGGATTGAATCTTATAAACATAATGTATAATATTATTTATAATAATTTGCAACAAACGATGCTTCCGGACGAAATGTCACAATTACAAAAATACGTCAAATATAAAATGACAGCGACTCATCAATAATATTGAACGGTGCGCGCCAGCCTTAAGCTATTACCAACTGGCACACACAAAAAATACTAAGTGAATGGTTTTATTTTGATAATTTCGTAAAAAAACGTTTTAAAACAAGGAAATTGTTACAGTTCTTGGTAAACAATACGCAAATGAATGATTTCTTTTTAATAACACATCAGAATTACGTCTTAAAAAAGCAAATTTAACGGCAGTAACTTTACAATTCAAAGTTGGTAATGCTGACGTCATTATATCTCATTGATGACGTGCACCCATATAGATTTGGCCGTGACTATATATACCAGAGAATTCGAACAAGCAAGGTAAACTTGGAGTGTATCCAGAGTGCTCTCTTGCGAGTTTTCGAACGCGCTCTAGTTCTGTACAGAGTTTAATAATAATTTGACTTTTGAACCAGTATTAACATGAGGTATTTCTATATAGACTGTTATAATTAGGGATAGAACGATACCGATATTGATATCGGTATATCGGCATATCGGCAATTGTTTCCGATTATCGGTATCGTATCGTATCGGCAAGATAATTGCCGATATATATCGGCAAAAAAAATTGCGCTTTTCACTCTTCAGTGCATAAATGAAATACTTTATTAAACAAAATAAAAATTTTCTTACTTTTAATATTAAAAAATAAGAAAAACAACCCTTTTAGGAAACAATAATAGCATATGGCAACAGCGCGGCATGCAGTTTGATCTACTGTGTTTGTTCAGTTACTGAACTTCAGTAGTTCCGACGCTGTCGTAGGGAAATGTGTATAGTTTTTAAGAAATACATTTTCGCCATTAACTGGAATTTACTGGATTTTAAACAATACTTAGTTTTTATTTGCAGAAATGCATTAAAACAAAACAAACGAATTCGATAAAAATAAAAC